TGAGTTCAAGGCCAGCCTGGTCTCCATAATGAGCTCCAGGACAGTACCTGGGGATACAGGGAGACCCTGTCTCAAAAAGACCAAAAAAAAAAAAGAACTGTTATATGAAATTACAAAAACTCAATATCAAAGATCAAAAAAGAAAAAACACTCATACACATAAAGAATAAAATAAATAAACTTAAAGTGGTTTAATTAAAAGATAAAGAATAGAATAGTGGTTGTCAGGAGCTGGATGTTGGGGAAGCAGGAACATGTTAGTAAAAAGTACAAACTTTCCAATGTAGATGTGTCACTAAGGGTTGGGTATCTCTCAGATATTTATTCTCTGTGTTTGGCCAGTTGTGGAACTCTGTAATCATCACCATATGTTGCAAAAAGATGTTTCTTTGATGAGTGGTAAGAGACATACTTGCCTGTATGAGTGGTAAGAGACATACTTGCCTTTGATGAGTGGTAAGAGACATACTTGCCTGTAAACGTAAGGATACATATTTGGCAACAAGTAAGAAATTACATTTCTCTAGGGATATAACAAATGCAGATTTTTCTCTGGGGACTATGACCTCTACAGCTATGTGTATTTGGTTATGTTTACAGTTCTACATATGAGTTCCTTCATATTGAGCAGGCTTTAAGTCAAATTAGATAGTTGTTAGTAACACCAGCCAAAGCTTCCTCATGCCACAGAGGGTGATTAACACAGAAAGCCACAACTGGTCAAAATAGAGAATAAGAGACTGCAGAGTGAGTGTCCCTGGATAAAACTCCTGTATTAAACCTCTGCCACCCAGGGCTCAGGGACCACAGTGGAAGAGTGAGTGGAGAGACTGCAAGAACCAGGGGTGATAGATAACCACAAAGAAACAGTTTTTCCAGGCTTCTGGGAACAGCATGAACAAGACACATGCAAACTGTAACTAGACAAAAACCCAGCATACAACTGGAGAAATGGGCAGGAGGCCCCAACCTCAGACAAGGGACTATTGGCAGCTGACCACTGCTGGGTGAGGAAGAGTTGGTCTTCTTTAAGGGAGTGACACTAGATAAGCTGAACAGGTTCCAATGGATGAACTCACATGGAGGAACATCTGGGGGTACAAATTTAACTCAACCCTAAATATATGACAAAATGCATGAAGTCTGGTGGAGAATCTATGGGGCACAGATAGGGTAGGAGGTCTAAATATTGCTAAGATGTATGAACTGAAAAAAATTCAATAAAAATATATTGAAAATGTACAAGCTTTCAGTTACAAAATAAACAACCTATAGTTATTAGTGCTGTATTTTAACTAGGACGGTAGGCAATAAATGTCCTCACTGCACAAAGACAGACAGACACACAGTAATTATGTCTGATGATGGATAAGTTAATTGATTAGATTACAATAACCATATTATAATGTATACATATATTAAATCAAATCTGCTGTGCACTTTACATAAAATTTTTATTTGTCAGTCATGCCCCATTAAAGTTGGGGAAGAATAAAATAGAAAGAGAAGGAAATTGTTGAATTTTAAGATATAATCACAGATCTATAAATGAAATGCGCTATATGTGTCAAGCTTGGGATTGGGTGATGGTGCATTCTATATACTTATAATCAGGATATTTCTCTAAGGGTGTGGTGAGGAACAGAAGACAAAATCTGAGTCACAGACTTGAAAACACTGAAGGAAGGGTGAATGAAGCTTGGGTCCAAGCATCTCATGTTGCTTTTTGCTACAGGATAGACTCAAGGTCACAGCCACAGAACCAGTGGCTGTGTCTAAGACGATCGATGTCTTTTCCAGATAGAAAGTCAAATTTCAAGATGACTAGTGAAAAGGGGGAAATATGTGAGTAAATTAGTCAAGACCAGACCAAAAATAGTAGATTTTTTTAAATTACTTTCTAAACTAGCTGTGTCTAACCTTGGGAGATTTGGGATAAAGGATGCTCCAGGGTAACTGTCCTTTGGGAAAATGTAGCACTAAAGGGGAGACCAAAATGACATTTTAACGATCTTTCAAGATGACTAGTGAAAAGGGGGAAATATGTGAGTAAATTAGTCATGACCAGACCAAAAATAGTAGATTTTTTTTAATTACTTTCTAAACTAGCTGTGTCTAACCTTGGGAGATTTGGGATAAAGGATGCTCCAGGGTAACTGTCCTTTGGGAAAATGTAGCACTAAAGGGGAGACCAAAATGACATTTTAACGATTCAAGGAGAAAACTGACCCAGGTATCCATTACTGGTACTCTGTCCTTGGTTACACTTGGCACAGGTCTGAGGTAAACCCTCAGAGAGTTTTGAAGTGGATACAGAAAATTATTATCAGAATGTCTACATCAAGTTGGGTTATCATCATGGATGACTGCGTCAAGATGGGCAGATATTATATACTACACTGGGAAGTTCAAAGAGAGGAATTGGGGCCATTTGGGAAGGAAGAAGCCAGAATCCTTGGAGATAGTCTGCACACAGTTAATTTTCTTTCTCTTCATCCCCTCACTACACATGGGAGACTTAGTGGCACAGACACAGAGATACTCCCATGAGGAGAACCTGCCGTGAGGCTACAGCTTGTGAGTGATGATAATAATCCTGGGAAGGGAGCATTCAGTTTCAAGAAGCATTAGACCTTTTGTAGTTAGGTGGTTTTCCTGTATACTGTTTCTTGACACGTTTGCCCGATTTCATTAACCCTTTCATGAAGCAGAAATAGAAGAATGGAATGAACTCATGGAACAAGACACCAATCCCTCCCAGGTAAGAAATCAACTTTGAGGGTGCCTGGTGAGGCAATACAAGTACCCTATCTCAAAGAGTCAGTCATCACTGGACAAAAAATAAGAATTTCAGTGTCTGTACTATAAAGTGGAATCTTCCTTTACCATAATCCACTTCTTAGTCATGTTCCCTTGACCTCAGGATATGAACTCCAAATTTCATTAACTCTTTCATGAAGCATAAATAGAAGAATGGAATGAACTCATGGAACAAGACACCAATGTCCCTCCCAGGTAAGAAATCAACTTTGAGGGTGCCTGGTGAGGCAATACAAGTACCCTATCTCAAAGAGTCAGTCATCACTGGACAAAAAATAAGAATTTCAGTGTCTGTACTATAAAGTGGAATCTTCCTTTACCATAATCCACTTCTTAGTCATGTTCCCTTGACCTCAGGATATGAACTCCAGCTGAAAAACAGAAAAGTTTAGGACAGTATCTCCTCATGCACGTTTACTCCCTCTCTCACTTTTTCTTCCCTCGTCGTTCCTCTCCCTGTTGCTCTTTATGTTTAGTCATTAAGTTCTACATGTTTCTGCTGTAAATGATAGAGAAGAAATACTTCAGTTTTAAAGGACAGTGATAGAGCACTTTCTTAGTGTGTGCATAGCCCCAGGTTTGATTCCAAACACTTACAAAAGAAGGAGAGAAAGGAGCAAGAAAGGGAGGGTTAGGAGAGTATCTCCTCATGCACGTTTACTCCCTCTCTCACTTTTTCTTCCCTCGTCGTTCCTCTCCCTGTTGCTCTTTATGTTTAGTCATTAAGTTCTACGTGTTTCTGCTGTAAATGATAGAGAATAAATAGTTCAGTTTTAAAGGACTGTCATTTATCTGGACTGGTATATAGCTCAGTGATAGAGCACTTTCTTAGTGTGTGCATAGCCCCAGGTTTGATTCCAAACACTTACAAAAGAAGGAGAGAAAGGAGGAAGAAAGGGAGGGAGGGAGAGAGAGAGAAAGAGAAAGAGAGGAAAGGAAGGAAGGAGTGAGAGACAGGAAGGAAGGAAGGAAGGAAGGAAGGAAGGAAGGAAGGAAGGAAGGAAGGGAGGAAGGAAGGAGAGAAAAGGAAGGAGGGAGGGAGGGAGGGAGGGAGAGGAAGGAAGGAGGAAGGAAGGAGGGAGGGAAGGAGGAAGGAAGGAAGGAAGGAGAGAAAAGGAAGGAGGGAGAGAGGGAGGGAGGGGGGAGAGGAAGGAAGGAGGAAGGAAGGAGGGAGGGAAGGAGGAAGGAAGGAAGGAAAGGAGGAAGGAAGGAAGGAAGGAAGAAGGAAGGAAGGTATGTAGCATTCCTGTAATCTCATCCCTCAATAGGTAGAGGAGAGGCACCTGGTCTATATAGTGAGTGGATTCCAGGCCAGCTGAGGCTACAGGGAGACCCTGTCTCAAAAAGACCAAAAAAACCAGGTAGAGGAGAGGATCAAATTTTCAAGGTCATCCTTGGCTACATAGCAAATTCAAGGCCTCTAAAACAAAACAAAAAAGGGAGAGAAAAAGGAGAAGGAAAGGAAAAAAGATCAAATTTTCAAGGTCATCCTTGGCTACATAGCAAATTCAAGGCCAGCCTGGAGACCCTGCCTCTAAAACAAAACAAAAAAGGGAGAGAAAAAGGAGAAGGAAAGGAAAAGGGGAGGAAAACAAGAAGGAAGATAATTTGTCACATACAAGCCTCCTGAACAAAGAAATATTCTTAAGTCAGCCTATGACATTATGTTAGAGCATCCAAAACTAAGATGGATTGTAAAGAATTATAAACAAGCAATTCAACTCCAAGTTTTCATACTTGTGAAGGAAAATAAACTCAAAACAAATATTCCATCAATAATTCCTGAGTGTGTGATAATTATGGGGCATATAAATTAGAGATGATGTAAGAACAACGTGTTTGCTGGACAAGAGAGAAATATTTTCTTCAGTGGTGAAGCCAGTGGTGAGTTTCTTATGCTCTTGTATAAATAACCCCCTCATCCATGCTCCTGTAAACAACCCTCATTAAACTCATTAGGCCACAAAAAAAAACATGAAAATAGAAAAGGGGCTAGTTTGGAAGAGGAAGGTGAGCAGCAACAGGAGGGGGAAAGGAAGCGAAATGGAAGTGAGTATGTTTGAATATATCCTGTAACGTGTCATAATGAAACCCATTGTTATATATAACTAATAAATGCTAATAAAAAGAAGCATTAATGGACAATGTTTTTTAGCTGTAGATGTATCCATGCCTGTAGAATGTCCAACCTGACAAGAATCACTGAATTTATCCTCTTCGGACTCTCTTCTCGACCTGAGGACCAGAAGCCTCTCTTTGCCCTCTTCACTGTCATATACCTGGTCACCCTGATAGGAAATCTACTCATCATCCTGGCTATCCAGTCTGATCCTCAACTCCAAAGCCCTATGTATTTCTTCCTCCGTGTTTTGTCCCTTGCTGATATGTGCTACACGACAGTCATAGTACCCAAGATGATGGTGAATTTCTTATCAGAAAAGAAGACCATTTCCTATGCTGAATGTCTGACACAGATGTACTTCTTCCTGGTCTTTGGAAACGTCGACAGTTATCTCCTGTCAGTTATGGCCATTGACCGTTATGTGGCCATTTGTGACCCCTTGCATTATGTCACTGTTATGAGCCACAGACTTTGTGGGTTGCTGCTGACCTTCTCCATCATTTTCTCCTACCTTCACTCCCTTCTACACGTCCTTCTGGTGAATCAGCTCACCTTTTGTGCATCAAATGTGATCCATCACTTTTTTTGTGATGTCAACCCTGTGCTGAAACTGTCCTGCTCTTCCACCTTCGTCAATGAAGTTGTGGCGAAGACGGAAGGAATGGCATCTGTGATGGCTCCGTTCATCTGTATAATCGTCTCATACCTGAGGATCCTCCTTACTGTTCTCAAGATTCCCTCAGCTACTGGGAAACGCAAGGCCTTCTCCACATGTAGCTCCCATCTCACTGTGGTGACTCTGTTTTATGGGAGTATAAGCTATGTCTATTTTCAGCCCTTGTCCAGTTATACTGTCAAAGACCGAATAGCAACTATCAACTACACAGTATTGACATCAATGTTGAACCCATTTATCTACAGTTTAAGAAATAAAGACATGAAACAGGGCTTGGAGAAACTGATAAACAAGATTAGGTATCAAAAGGATAGACTTTCTTCTGCATGGTCTATTAAAATCCATGGCCCTTGATTGTAAAATGGTAGAAGGCATATGAATATGCATGCATGTGTGTATTTCTCTCTCTCTGTCTCTCTCTGTCTCTGTCTCTCTTTCTCTCTCTCTCTCCCCTTGATGGAAATGGTCTCTCACAAACTGTGGCTATATACCTTCCAGCTTTCCACTGTGTGGCCTCTGTCATCCTGGGATTGAATACTTAGGGTGTCTTGGTACCCATGCATCAGTTAAAGACTCAGTCCATAATATCATTGTACTCCACAAAATATATTCTATTTATTCACTCTATATTTATTTGGAACCTTGTTTTTTCAGCCTGATATGAATTTCCAGAGAATTTTTGCACAATTTATATAGAAATGTATATAGACACAAAGGTATTCGAAATATCTAGCCATCTTACTATATTTGAAACTGTCAGAATTTTTTTGTAGAGATGTGTAAGTGTGTGTGTATGTGTGTTACCTCCCTATCCAACTAAAGGTTTACCAAGTTCAAAATCTGTATTCCATAACCATTCCATAAAACTCTGATCTGTATTCTAAATTTTCATGTGATCTATATGTTCTGAGTTCTGGAATCATAGATTCCCTCTTTAATATTTTGTTATTTTTATTTTCTGTATATGAGTGTATCACCTGTGTTATATAAGTGCACTCATGTCATGCAATGCCCGTGGAGGTCAGAAGAGAGCATCAGATCCCCTGGGAATGGAGTTATAGATAGTTGTTGCCATGTGAGTGCTGAGAATTGAACCCCATTCCTCTGCAAGAGCAGCCAGTGCCCTTAACCACTGAGCCATCTCTCTAACCCCTGGAATCAAAGATTCTCAACCCCTAACACCAATCATCAAGTTAGCTACTATAAGACTGTTCTATACCTCTGCACATGTTTGAATCTATTCTTTCACTTTTGTATGAGACAGGGTTTTTCAGAAGAGCAACTAGTAGAAAATACATTATACATATATAATATAAATATTCAATAGGGATTATTGAATTGGTTCACATAATAAGGGCTGGATAACAGATGGTCATCTGAACACTGGGAGGCAGATAACCAGGCTCCCAATCCAGGAAGCAGGACACCCCTGCAGTCCCAACCAAGCAGTGAAAGCCTAGAAACTCCCTGGATGGTCAGTAGTACTCAGGGAACATTGAAAGACCAAGAAGCTGACACCGGCTGTTCTGGCATGTGCCAAAGGCAGGCTGGATGGAGGCCACTCTGGTCCATGCTCCACATAGTGACTTTCCAGGTAGGCAGGCTGTGCCCAAATAAACGAAGCTGGTGTCTGATTATGTCAGTAGGGGGCAGCAGCGCTTGACACAGGTCTCTCAGCAAAGAAAGGGGATGATCAACACTTCTGCTACCTTAATCTGACCTCTCTTCACCTGAGCAGTCTTGTCTGCATTTTAGGGTGCTAGTCTAAATCAGGGCAGGTCTCTCCCATCGCCATCACTGTCCCTTTGTCAATCTTCTCTGGAAACACCCCACAGACACATTGGCACATTTCATCCATCCTAGACATCTCTTAACCCAATCAAGTTGGCAACTAAGACCAACCATCAGGCCTTCCTATACTCAAGGCACATTCACCCCCTGACTCTTCCTGGGTTCCCATGCTTTTATCCTTTTCCACCTAGGGATGGCTACGTTTCTTTGCCTCTTCAGTCTGTCAAAATTTTACATAATAAAAGAAGGGTATTCTGTGTAATCAGAATGCCTCCTCTGGTCATGGATGTGACCTACTAGCAAGGACCTCTGGACCCTAGCGCCTGTTTATGAAAGAAACTCTGCATCTAGGTAGAAAATGGGTTATACAGCTTTATAAAGAAGATAAATGAATCATTTCACAGTGCAGTACAGTGATGCATCCCTTTCCTGGTGTTTGTGTTTTAATAGATAGAAATATTTAAGTTAGATAAATTTGTCTCTCATTGCTCAGATGAAAGAAACAGATAAATGATCTTAAAGTTTTTAATTGTAGGATGAGGTTTTGAAAACCTATTGTATACCTTGGTGACTATAACTAATAATAATGTCTTGTGTATTCTTAAATAGTTGAAAGAATATATTTTAAATGTTCTCTCATCACAAAGAAATGGTATTTTATACTTATGTTATTACCCTGATTTGATTAACAATGGCACATGTATTGAAATATTATATTGTACTGAGTAAATTTATGATTATTATCAAAAATAAAATAGAAGTGACTGAAAAGAATTTTTCAATCCCATTAATTTTACCACAATAATTCCTAATCCAAGGCAAGGTAGAATCGGAATGGAGATATATTGCTCGATTTCCTCTACTACAGGGATGGCAAATTAGTAATCATTTCCATCACCTCTGATCAGTTGATAACTCTTGGATTGTTGTAGTAGGAAAATGGGTGCCTGTGTCTGGGCTGAATGAAGAGGGATGACAGGAAAGTTGTTAAACATGATTTGGGTGTAGGAACAAGGAGCACTGGTTCATGGAATAAGTGAGTTTTCACTGCTGCTACGTGCCTTGGTGATGTCACATGCAATGAAATTTCATTTATACAGTTTCATTTCATCAGTATTTTTTTTGAACCCTCACTCCACCTAATCACAACCTGATGAAAATACTTGGGGGTGGTATCCAGATCTCTGGTGTCTACAAACCCAATGCTACCATTTTCTATCACTCAGATACCAGAAGTCCAAGGAACACCAGTAGAGCCTTCATTTGCTGAGCAGAGCAGAAACTTTTCTCAGATCCATGGATTTTAAAGAACTAAAGTTAACCTCTCTGACCTCTCTGACTTTATTTACTCTGATTTCTATTTTGATGTTTCCTTAGGTTATATATAGGTTCCCAGTGTTGGCCATTAATCCACCCTGAAAGCTGGACCTGAAGAACTGTTGGCAATTGATGGTTGCAGGGAAAGAGAGAGATGGTTTTCTTAAGGGTGTGGTATCTTGTATGTTGACCAAGGTCCAGAGGATGGAACATGAATTATATTACTACAACAGTTTTTATTTAAATTTTTCATCTTTTCACATAGCGTATTTTTTAAGTATGATCATTTCTTACTATAAACAAACTATATTTTAGAAAAGGTATACATTTGGCATCAAAATGAGCAAAATTTCCTTATGACCAAATGGCAACATCTGATTTTACATCTTTGAAGTCATTGTAGGTAACTGAACGTGATCATCTCCTAAGATTTGTTGGTCTCTGAGGTCTTCCTTCCACCAAGTGTAAATAGATGTCAGATTTCAGAAAACATGTATGGCTTTCTTCCTCCATGAGCTGATACACTCAACTTTGTGCTGCATCCAAACTGTGGCCAGGTGGGTTGTGTGATGTTCTTGGCAATGATTTCTCTGTATGAAAATCAAGGCTAACCCCTTGTGGACCATCAGTCTGTATAAATTTCTCATATATTATTTTTGCTTTTAGGGTACTTTGTTGAGGTTCCTTCTTTTCTTGATCATTCTACTCATAATAAAAACTTTATTTCTTTATTAAAAGACAATCAAAAGTACTAACAATGTTTTTAAATTTGTGGTTACGTTAAAATTAGCTTTTATGATAATGTAAACCTTTGACCAACTATCTAGTTTGTAATTTATTCTAGCTACAAACAGCATCCTTAAAAACTTTATATTAAGAAAACATTTTCTGTAATGATGAACTGGAGAATATAGAAGTGAACCATTTATTACAAAGGGGAAGTTAGGACATTTGTTATTGAGTGACAAATTCTAAGTCCAGAACAATTTTCTACCATTTTAGTTTTAAGCCAGCAATAAGAGCTTTTGTAAAGACACATTTGCCACTATAGAACATCCACATTAATCTTAACTCAGGTAGCTTTGTGAGACTGAGCACCACAGGTATGCTCATTCTACCTGTACGGACTTCCCCAGTTCAATGGACTACTACTTCTGGCCACAGGATCATGCTCATATTGACATATCTCCACGCTGCCATTAAGTGGATTGCACTCTCTCCTGTTAAATGAACTTGCTGAAGTAGTGGTAATGATGGTTTGCATGATAAAGAGAGCATGCTTGCATAGAAATAACTATATCTCATATTTGGACTTTCAGATTTGGGGTAGAAATTGAAAATGAAAAGTGGTGAAAAAAAGAAATCTACAAAGTTGGAAAATTTGGCATCTGCCACCCTTGTCATCTCAGGCGTGGTCTCTCATTATTGTTAGTACTATAATTGTCACCCAATACTGTATTATCAAAATAAGACTATACTAATAAATACGTTTCTATATTACAGAAATATTTCATTGCAATCTGTGTTGCATGGTCTGTACATATCTGTATTTAAAGATGGCATACATTTAGTTTGGTAAATGCTACCACTATGCTTGAAATGTAAAATAAAAACACATTAGGTCATCTATAATAATAAATATTTCAAAAATGAGAAAATCAGCTCTTGGAAAATTTCCAGTGAGCAAAACAATATGGCTTAATTGAATATATAAATGCATTTGAAAGAATGTTCATCCTTAGAATAGTGCATCTTTACAAGCAATAACATGAAATGATCCCTTTAGTGTTTAGGTCTGTTTCCATAGTCCATTGAGAAGCTTTTACTCTACTCCTATGTATCTTGTATAGTATTTTATAGCTTGTATAGCATTTATTTGTCAGGTATGAATGTGTCTCTTCCTAAATCACCCCTCATAGAACAGTTTTTCTCCTCATCATTTGGTATTCATTCTCTTGATAAGCTCCAATTTATCAAAGTCCACAGTAATATATGGCTTCAAAAACTGACTATTACTCTCTGGTTAAGTTCTAGATTAGACTGAATGGAGTAAAGTGACCATCATTTCTTTTGTAAATCCAAGGTAATTTGTTGACAGAACCACTGCCTGCTGATTCATATGGTACCTGGAGTCACAGCACCACAAGGCTTGTACTCACGCCCCCAACAAAAAACATGAGTTTGAATTCTGACATAAATGTTTAAAATGATGCCCCAGATAAATGAATTAAATTAAAATTAATTAA